ACTTTGGAAACTACTTCCCCTAAGAATTGGATTAGCATGGCTAGGATAAAAGATTATCATTAGCCCTTTCTTATACTTCCAATCTCCAATTATAGTGGACAAAGAAGTTAATGAAGTAAACATTTGTTAGTTCCTTCTTGACACTTTGGTTCCTTCATAGTCTTTTTTAGTGGCTGTGACTTGTTATCATTTTAGTTATCTTGTTCTCAAGAACTATTTGCAATCATTCAAATACACAACTTCGTTTTATATAGAAATTGTAGAATTCGTAGTCAATGGTAACCACATGATGATGAGAAAGAAATGAATACCATTTAGATTATTCAATGAATATTTTTGAATATTGGAAAATTATTTATTTTGACCATTATTTGTCATGACATCATGGATTCTAATATCATCCATTTCACTTGTTAACATGAAGCATGGAAGTCATATGAGAAAAGGAAGAAAAAAATCAAAATTCATCAGTAAGTAAAATTGTGTGATTAAGGAAGCTAGAGATATATTTGATTTTAATACTAATGTCAAAAAAGGAGATTTAATAAGCTGTCCTCATTGATTTTTTACCCATGGTTTTCTTTGTTGTAGGGATTTTTCTTAGTTGGAGGTGGAAATGAAATGTTATCATATGTCTAAGAATTAAATTCAAATTTTACTAAACTTGCCCCTCAAAGTTCAAATCTTTCATTAATGATATATATATATTGGAGAAGAATGTCCTTAGGTAGTCAAATTCTTTATAATGCACTATTATTAAACTAAGAAATAAATCATAAATGCAACAAGTCAAACAACTTCAAAACTATTTACTTTTGTGTTTAGTTTATAGTGTGACCGAAGTGTGTAAAAAATGTATTATAAATTGCTTAATATTTCTTAAATCATTTACATGTTAGAAGCAGTGGTTGATAAAATTCTAAACTCAAGGTAATGAGCTGGTTTAAATTCTAAAAAACTAGTTCAACTCAAATATAACTAACCTTCTTGGATGAAAGGCTTTTGACTGGTTCTAGGTTTTAATTATTATAATAATTATAACTATACTAAATAAATTTAGCTAGGGTAAATTCAATACCATAATGGGTAAAGATCCTTTAGATAAAAGGAAGGCCACTATGATATTTAAGGAGGGAAGCAAAGTAAGCTTAACTTCATATTTATAATTGCTAAAGATAAAAAGCAGCAAGACAAACATTTTTAATAAAAGTATCAAGAGGTTAACTATAAATATGAGGAATGCATGTTATATAAAAATTTAAGAAGTGGATTAAATATGACAATAATAAAGGGTGGTTGTAATGCACCATTTATCAGTCAAACCTTAAATACAAAGGCTTTTCAAAAAATAAGGTAGGTTTCAAGGTTTCACAAAAGTGACAAGCATTAACAATTGTTTCTAACCACATCATTGAAAATAAAGATAAACCTAGAATAATCCTTGTTACTTGTTGTAGGAATATTTATATTTCCATTCAACTTCTTGAAATGAAATATTTTTGAATGGAAGAAACCCCTTCATAAAATATGCATATATGAAGAATATAATAACACCCCTTGAAGTTATATGTCAATATCATTTACAATTGATTATTATTTGCCCTATCTTACTTCCTATATATCAATGCTATTTTTCACAAAAGTAACTTCTATTTTGGGATAATGGTTCATAAGTTTACATATATAAGTTAAACTTTTTTCTTAGATTGTAGAAATTAATTCCTGTATTTAATAGTTTTTTCCAACATGACTAAACATCTGATTTTATAATGTTATAAACATCCAAGACTCTAGATTTAAAACCAATTATACAGGAATTGTGGGTTACTTTCATTGCAACTTGTATTATGGAGTTTCTTCAAAATTAGAATTGGATTATATGGTAATGGCCAAAGTGGAAGTTTAATGAACGTAACATATTTTAATTAAAAACTCCAACTCAAAAAGTCAAGAGCATGAGTGGAACTCTTAACAAAGCACTAGAGGAATGAATACAAAATTATTAATAATCAACTTTTTAGAAAATAATACAATATTAATTAACACGTGGCAAGTATTATGACATGTGAAAGTCCAAGACCGAGTTTAAGTCTAAGGAGTGAAAGTCCAAAAATATATCTCCTAGACCCTAGAGGGCTTGGTAAATCCTAATAGGATAGTAAAGAGGAAGACTTTAAAAAAATTATGGTTATACATATGTGGTGATAATATAAATATTAAAGAGTCCAAAATTAAAATGAATATAGATAAACAAGTGAAGTGATTTGGTGAAGTGTTCAAGAATTAACTATAGTTCTTCTAGAGATTGAATGATTAATGCTCATAATCCAAGTATAGGTAGCACTATTTACTTAGATACCTTGTGTGGCTCATCAAAACTCACTCTAGCCACGTGGCTAGAGCACTATGGTGGCAGAAGGTGAGGAGAGTATTTATAGAGTTTACATTATGTCATGGTATATTGAAATATCATTTTAAAGCTTTTAATTGTGGAAAAGAAAAGGGAATCTTGCTTAATAACTAAGGATATAGTTACATAATGAGGTTAATAGGATTTAGTGGATGAGTTTTTGGTCCCTAACTCAATGGCAATATTGATAAGCACTATCATGGATGAAAAAGGGCTTTGTAGGATTAAAAAAAAGATATTTAAGAATAATGTCCCCTTATGTCTTAGGGCATCCTAAGGATGTTAAAGAGTGGTGTTTGAATGACCACTTCTGAATATATAATTTAATTTTGGAAAGACAAAATTGTAATATATATATGGTTTTAGACTACCAATTAGATAGTGAAAATGAACATAGCCTTAGTGTCAGGGTTGGTACCTTAGATTTTGTATTTTAACTACACCTTAAGGAGTTTTAAATAAAATATTTTATAAATTTACTTAGAATTTCTTTAAGAAAATTATCATGGTTTTCTAAAACACATGTATGTAGCTCCATTAAGATAAAATGAAGACTATTAAAAAAATACGTAAAGTATGTTAATTTTGGATATTTTCTTTGTTTATCATGAAATTTGCTCACTATATTTGAAGAACATTTTGCATCTTTATTTCACTAGAAGTATCATCTACCAAACTTAATGATTAAAAATATTCTAAGCCCAATGTTGTTATAACTTCTATAATATAAGTTAAATGTTGCAATATTGGAATCTTTATGATAACTGTCATAACACTCAAGTAAGTATCATTTTTAAATTTTTTTTCTTGCCTTTCTTCTAACTAGTGGTTGAAAAACCTTTTTTTATCAAGAGGGATAAAAACTTTTGTCTTGGATTTTTTGAATTTATTATTTTTCTCCTCTAGAATAGTTATCAGAAAGTAAAAATTCATCCCTTTAAATTCCAAAATTTTGAGTATCAAGTTCTTCCAAGCAATCACTAGTAAAAAAGAGTTTTTACAAGTTTAATCCTTGGCAACTTTTGCATGTTGTATCCTAAAATGAAATTGTGGTATTTATTGTTGTTCTGGGATGCCTAAAGTTGTAATGAACTCCTAATGCAACAATCTGCTCTTGCATTAGCTATAATATTTTCCTCTATGATAGAACTTAAGAAACCATAATCATATAAAAAACTCATAACTAAACTCTGCTTGCTATAAAATCAATTTAACATAGTTAAAAAAAACATATCAATGGTTATATGGTTATATACTCAATTAATCAGTGGTTACACTCTAATCAGTGCTATACCATAGCAAATTGGCATTAATAACTTGTTGCTCCAAAGTCACTCCACACAAGCTTTAACCATTGCCATGTTATATAGCATTGTATTGCCAGTCTCAACCTAGCCCAAACAAATGAGTTTAGATCCTAAAAATGTGGTGAGGAATGAGTTTTTGAGATAGTGGATGAATGCTACACTATAAATGCCATAGGTTTTTGGGAGAGAATTCCTTTACCGGTCTAAAAAGTGCTATATATATCACAATTTTTGGTTTTTTTTTTGCTTAAGTAAAACTTGCAAGGGACTGGGATAGTAGTGAATATATCTAGAATATTTTTGAATATTCTAGAATATTTTACCATCTAGGATTGCTATTCATTTAGTTTAATCTTGTATTTATAATTTATAAAGATGTTTATATTTTATAAACTTTCCTAAACACTTCCTAGTATATTCTTATTTATTCTACCATCTAAAGGTTGATATGCAATAAGATCTTGATTTATAAATTATAAAAATCCTTATAATTGTTGATCAATTGGATTATTGAAAAATACTAAATAAAAATGAAACTACTATTAAACAACCCAAATATTGTTACATGCAATATAATGTGAGGTCCAAGTGTACAGCTACGATGTGATATACTAATATTAACATTATGGGATTTTAGTAGATATCAAATTGGATGTAATTTGGACCACTCACTCTTATATATAAACTAAGGTTTTTGGAGTAATTGATATGTACATTTTTTGTATTCCCTTTCCATATTCCATGCACTCATAGTAGTAAATTATGTGAAATGTTTTTTAAAATTAAAAATAATAAATAAAAAGATGGACACCACGTTAAATTAGATGGAGTTCTACTTAATTAATTAATTAGCATCTGATGGATGAAGACTACACCAGGTGATCCTGAAACGGGCATTCAATAGAAGAAAAAGAATCCAGAGTCTAGAAGCCAGTGATAAATTATGCCGAGAAATTCTCGTCATGCAGCAGGATTAGCTTGCTTGCTCTTTCAATGTCGACGACATGGCAAGACTGAAATCAACGTGAGAACACCAAGCTTTCTTTACCGGGCCGCCCGTCTGCCAGGCCTGTCCTCTGCGTCAAAAGTCTCTGCGACGAACATGAAGCATTAGATTCTTGGAGAAAAATTTCTGCTGCTAAAATACAAACAAAGAAAGATCGGCGACTGAGGCTAATCTAACCGAATTAAAATAAATCTATCACGTGAAAGTCAAGTCTAAGTCCAAGTCAAAAGATTCCTCGCAATGGACTTGGCCAGCAACGCAGGTTGGAACAGAAAGAAAAAGAGTCTCCCTTCACGCGCGCTTGACAGCATTTCAAAGGATGAGCTCCACCCCCAATGCCTCTGGGAGCGCTGGGAACCAAAGAAACAGCGACCAAGAGAAGCCACTGTTGCTTCCAACCACGAAAGGATTTAGCGCTCGCGATGAGATTGCGAGAGTGTTCTTCAGAGGTGGATCCTCGTTTGATGCGTGGCTTACTGCTTGCACAGCACAGGTAAATGCTCTGAAGATCTCTCAACTTTTTTCAGGTCAAATTTTCAGGTCGCCCAAGTTCTCCTCACGCTCCCTTACTCTTTCGCTCAAATGGGAATGGTGCAGGGTATACTGTTCCAGCTCGTGTATGGGCTTCTCGGGTGCTGGAGCTGTTATATGACCACCAGCCTGTACGCCGACTATGTTAGAATTCTCGACAGGCAAAACTCTCGCCGAGATGACCACATTATCCAGGTGTGGTAGTGTATGAAGAGACACTAACCTCTCGAGACCCTGGCTTTCAGTGGTATGAAGTTTTGGGAGGCCTTCTGGGAGAAGGATGGAAGATGGCCGGCTTGGTATATAACTGCATCCTTCTTCTTTGTACTGCAACGATCCAGCTTATAGCTTGCGGAAGGTATGGAAAATCTGAAAGGTGAAAGTGTTGACAATGGTTAGAATGGTCGCAGCACCGTTTGGTATATCAATGATAGTTTTGAGAAAAGAACATGGACATACATCTTTGGAGCCGGCTGTTTCCTCACGATTTTTGTTCCAACAGCTCGCAATTACCGGCTGTGGGCGTTTGTAGGAATCTTCATGACGACTTACACAGCTTGGTTTATGACTATCTCTGCTGTAATTCATGGCAAAGTAAGCGTCCAATCTTCTTCTTCTTCCCTCCCTTCTAGTGTAATCGACCTACAGGTAGAAAGCGTCGAGCATTCTGGTGCAAAAAGCTCGGTCCAATACTTCACAGGAGGCACAAACATTCTCTACGCATTTGGAGGTCACGCAGTCACGCTGTAAGCCAAATAAAAAAGAAGAGAGAAAATCTTCTTTTTTTCCCCCAGCCAAATCTTCTAAAACAGGCTGTTATTGAGTTAACAGAGAGATCATGGATGCAATGCACAAGCCAAAAAGCTTCAAGATTGTCTACCTCTGTGCCGTGCTCTACATTTTTACCCTCACAATACCTTCGGCGGCGAGCGTCTACTGGCGCTTTGGCGACGCAATGCTCCACAATCCAAACGCACTGGCCGTCTTTCCCCGCACGAGATTCAGGGACGCCGCCGTCGTCCTCATGCTCGCGCACCAGGTAAAGAGCTCTCAAGAACCCTAAAACAACGTCTTTAAAGATTTTGAAAATCCCCGCCAGTTTATCGAGTTTGGGGTTCTTGCGTTGCCCATCTTCGTGATGTGGGAGAAGCTCCTGGGCGTCCATCACTCCAAGAAGCACTACATTGTCAAATCCCTGTCGAGAATTCCAATCGTGCTCGTCATATGGTTCATCGCGATCATGATCCCATTCTTCGGGCCGATCAACTCTGTCGTGGGCGCGCTGCTCTCAAGCGTTGCCGTCTACATCCTTCCTTGCGTCGCGTTCATGTATGCAAGGCAAGCCCCCGAATCACGAAAGGTAACGAGATCTCTCAGCGAATGGATCTCCAATTCGATAGAGTTTTTTCCCTTCTTCCAGGGCGCCTTGGAGCAGCCACCCTGCTGGCTCTTGAGGAGCTGGGTGCCCATGTACTGCATCAACCTTGGATCGGTGCTGTGGGTCGCGATCGTGGGCGTGGGATTTGGGGGATGGGCGAGCGTCAGCAATCTAATGGAGAAGATCAGCAGCTTTGGATTCTTCGCAAGGTGCTATCAATGCAATAGCACAAGGCACTGAATCCGATGATCAAATGCTCTGGGTCTCCAAGACCGCAGCGATATCCTCTAACATGCCGGCGATTCTCTCTCGCATCTTGTGCTGCTGTTCTTCCCGAACAGGAATCATGTCGCACCTACAGCGCCTGCGTCTCCCGATTGCAGCAATGTATCAAATCCCAGGCGCTCCGCGATGGCCAAAGGATTCACGATTGGATACTGGGCTCTTCGCTGCGCGGCGACACCTTTCTGGGCAACCTGGTGATCCAGATGTATGGCACCTGCGGCAATGTGGCCGGATCCTGGTGGGTGTTTGGAGAAGGCATCCATCGCCGCAATGTTTTCTCGTGGAACACAATGATGGGAGCGTTTCTTTCGAGCTACCAGGTGGACGAAGCAATGATCCTGTTCGGGAAAATGCCCCAGAGGGATGTTGTCTCCTGGAACACCATACTTGCAGCAAATGCCCAACTAGGCGATTTGGACTTCTTACAAACAATATTTGGTCAAATGCCACAGAGAGGTGTGATTTCATGGAATACAATGATAACATCCTTTGCGCAATCAAAAGATACGTCCCGCGCGATCGAATCTTTTGCGAAAATGCCAAAGCATACAGTCGTAAGCTGGACCGCGGCGCTGACTGCATTTGCCGAAAATGGGCATCTGGATAACGCATGTGTTCTTTTCGATTATATGCCCGAGCGAAACGACGTCTCTTGGAGCGCAATGGCGGCCGCCTACGCCGAACACCTCCTTCCGGATCGCGCCATCGAAGTTGTCTCCGCACGGATGCCGCAGTGGAGCATCACCTCCCTGAGCTCGCTCATCCAGGCGGTCCTTCAATCCCACCGCCCGGATCAGGCATGGATCGTCTTCGCTCAGATGAACGAGCGCAACGAGTTTGCCTGGAACATCATGCTCCAGGGTCTGTTCTTTCACGATTTCCCCGCCGGGGAGCTTGTTCTCGATAAAATGCCCTGCTGGGACGTTATCGCTTGCAATACCTCCATTGTAGCATATGCCCAAAACGGACATATTGCGAAATCTCGCGCTATTTTCTTTGCGATGCCGCACTGTTCGGTGGCTTCTTGGAACGCCATTCTTGACGCATTTGTGCAGATAAACTCGGTGGAAGAAGCTAGTCGGATATTCTGTCTGATGCCTTGCCAAGACGCAGTGTCGTGGACGGCAATCCTGGCAGTGTATGCTCAGAATGGGCATGTCACCAAAGCGCAGGGCCTGTTTCAGAAAATGCCGGCGGGAAGGAGCACATTTGCATGGAATTCACTGCTCCACGCGTGGAGCCAGGCTAAATTTCCTCACACGGTGGCCGCCATCTTCCATCGCATGCCCGGGCAAGACTTGGTTTCCTGGAACACTCTTCTCGCAGCCTATGCTCGCAGCGGTTTTGCAAGAGAATCGCTGCAAATCCTGTGCCGCATGGATCTGGAAGCCGTGGGGATAGACGAGATCACTTTCATCAGCGTCTTGGATTCCATCTCTGCGGCCTCCACAAACTGTGATAGCAGGTTCCTCCTCGATGAGTTTCTGGGCAATCCAGAAGCTTACAGTCTCGTCCAAAGTTCTTGCGTGGTGGCAAACGCGCTCGTCGCCGCCTGTGCGAAGTCTGGCTATCTCGCCGATGCCTGGACAGTCTTTTGCAACGCCAGTCACCGGGACATCACTTGCTGGAGCTCCATGCTCTCGGCCTATGCGTTAAACGGCCACGAGCTCCAATCCTTGACGCTTTTCCAATGCATGCTACTCTCGGGCCTGGTTCCGGACGAGACCATCGTCGCGATTCTGCTCTCCGCTTGCTCGCACGCCGGCCTCGTCGAATCTGGAGTGGAGTTCTTCCGCTCCTTGAGTCAGGACTTTAACGAAGTGGAAGCCAACTTGGATCACTACTCTTGCTTGATCGATCTCCTGGCGAGAGCTGGGATGCTCGAGGAGGCCGCGAGTGTGATCCAGGAGATGCAATTCGAGGCCAGCTTGCTCATTTGGACGTCAATCATGGCCGGCTGCATTGTTCATGGGGACGTGACTAGAGCATTGCTGGCTGCCGAGGAGATCGCTAGAACGCATCCAGATAGTGGCGTTGGACCGAACCTTGAGAAATCGCTTGACAAGTGCCCTTTTGTTTGACATAGCACATTGGATCACGTGAAAGGGCATTTGGTCTAGTGGTATGATTCTCGCTTAGGGTGCGAGAGGTCCCGAGTTCAATTCTCGGAATGCCCCAGAGGGGTTGTTTTCTCGATTTTATTTTACGGACTTTTCGTCTCGTTTCAACACACTTCGTGCTGCGCATGCAACAAAACACCTCATGATCAATAGCATCAAAATATGGACAAGTGGTGGTCACGCCACACTAAAAATGCCCGTGGTCCATTCATGCGAATATTATCCCTGAACACAACGAAAATTCGATCCCTAGCGATACTGCACGAGGCAAAAATGGCCCCTCTGTCAAAATCATACACCGCATGTTCTTTGATAAATAACCGGTCGTGATTTTTGATAACGATGATGTTTAAACTAAAGGCAAAGATATATCGAGATTAAATTTTCAAAGAACGTGAAACCTATGCTGACCGACAAGGTGCCTGTTTGGGGATTGATTGGTTTGACCGCAGGTGAAAGTCTAGCCCTTAACTTTTTACATGGGTAGGTAAAAATTTACAGCTGGCCTGAAATCGACGGACGCCGGACTGACAGCTGGCGGCTTCTTTGGCCGAGCGATCCTCCCCAATCGACGGCAGGCATGTTTAAAGCGGTGGAGAGTTCTCGAGCAATGCCCGTGCTCTCGATCGACCGGATTCTCTAGTATGCAAGCGCTAGGTTTTCCTGGTCTTGAGAGGAAATCCGGTGGCGGCAGTGGAAATTTCCAGGGACATGGTGCATTCCTCGTCCTGGGGAGGGTTCACGATGCGTGTTCTTCGTCTGGGCGCTCAATCTCCCCGTGAATGCCAGGTTTGTTGCCCAGAAATCTTTTCTTTCGCGATTTGAATCTTTCTTGATCTTGGATCGCTCGCGCAGGCTCGATATTTCCGTCAGCTGCTCAAGCCGGTTACGTAGATCGCTCGCACGGGGCGCAAGAAGATTAAATCATCGTGTTCCCGGCACCTAGGGTTGGATTGAGCGCGAGTATGGAGCGTGTTGAGCTGGATTTGTCACAGGCCGAGCTTGAGAACGTCTTACATTTCTCTGGAGCGATCGGCAAAGAGGAGGTGGAATTCCAATTTGCCGATCGTGTGAAGAGGCCGCCGCCGGCGAAGTATGTTCTCTTCGATCAGTGTGGAAGCGAGAAAGTGGTGGTGGTGCATTCGGATGGAGTGTCTCCAGTTCTTCCGGACGCCCTTGTTCACGATCACAACACCACAGGATCTCAGACTCTCCAGGCGCTGCTAAGCTCGGCTGGCCTGCAAGATAAAGCGTGCGATCTCCAAGTCTACAAGAACGCCATGGCAGCAGCGCTCCTGGAGTTCGAGAGCTCTCACTCTGGGGAGGAGAGGCTTGAGCTCTTTGATTCGATGGAGCAGCCGCTTCAAGCAAACTCGGGCAGCTGGCAGGAGAACACGGACGATCTCGACGCGCTCATGGAGTCGGACGAGGAAGAAGTGTCCGAGCTCAACAGTGCGAGCGTTACCAGTGCCTTGACACGAGAAGATCACAGTGGTGGAGTGGAGCTCAGTGGCTACTTATCCTCCGAGGGGGAGACCGACGGCAAAGGAAGATCATCCCGACGATCCCGAGACTGCCGCTTGTCAGTTCGCTCCACCAGAAGCAGCAAAAAGTCGAGGAGGCAGACGATCAAGTACAAGATCCAGGTCTTGAGAAACATCATACCGGGGGGAGCGGGAATGGAGGCGGCAAGCGTTTTGGAGGAAACCATCCGCTATATCACAAGCTTGGAATCTATGGTCAGATCAACCAGGTGGGCAGTGCTTGCTTGCGTGATCTCTCGCGTTTGTATTGATTGCTTCCAGATTTTGCAGTTCAAAGCCATGAAAAGCGAACAGCCAAGGCCGTGCTGTAACTAGTGTTCTTTTGTTTCGGGATAGGAATATTAAATCGCTTGGCTTTCTTTCTTTTGTGGCGAGATCCTTGTCTCTGTCCTTCGACTTGACACCACCTTCCAAAAGAAAGAAAAACTGTCAAATTAGGGTATAACGATTGATTAGTGTCTAAGCCGGCCTAGCTCAGTTGGTAGAGCGCAAGGCTCTTAACCTTGTGGTCGTGGGTTCGAGCCCCACGGCCGGCGGACTTTTTAATCTAGGCTTTAACCTTTTGGTCCAAAAGGTAAAAGAGATATTCGCATTTGACACCTTTTTTAGGGGACAACAGGTTCGTAGTCAAAAGGGGGAGGTGGACGGCAAAAGGAGTTCGTGCGCTCCTCTTATTTAGGGCGGACAAAGGTTTGGATTCATGGCACTGGCAGGCATGCAATCCAGTTCCTGGATGCTTGCTGGCGATCCCAGCACTGGATCGTGCTATGCGACTCCCTCGTCTCTCAAGCTGTGGGGATGCGTCAATAGATCGAGGAATTTTGTTAGGATCAGGGGCTCTAGCAGCTCGGTGACGAGTGTTTTGAGCGCGGAGAGGGTGGATCTTCGCGACGAGGATGAGATTGAGGCTGATTTTGGTAGAAAGTTTAGGCTTCCACACATCAGCGACGTTTTTCCCGATCTAGAGCCGCTGCCAACGACGTTTAGTGTCAAGAGCAGGTAAAGGTTTTTCTTCCCTTTTGCCTCTTCACTTAGCTTTTTCTTTCGTCACGTTTATCTTGACAGCCTCCCTTGGCTTTTGTAGCTATCCTTTGCCGGATTATCATTTCGACGATGAATCCAAGGACTTGAAGAAGATGTATGTCCACAATGACGATCGTGTACTTTTAAAGGTGAGAGCTTGTGTTTCGGATGAAGCTAGTTCTTATATTTGTTTTCTTTTCAGGTTATAGAATATGTCTCACCCACGTCTGCGGGAGCTGACTGTGAGGGTGAGGATTGCAAATTCAGGCATCTAAGGCGAGTATTATAAGCAATTTTCTCGGTTGGATCTTCCTGATTCTATTTTTTTTTTTTTTAATTACTCTAGAGTGTGGAGAGCCGGTCCACGCAAAAAAATATATATCAGACCCGAGGAAGTCAAAGCTGCGATTGTAACATGCGGGGGACTTTGTCCCGGTCTTAACGATGTTATTCGTCAGGTACGTAAACTAATGCATGCTCGTTAATTTTTCATGAGCTAATGTTTTTTGCGCAGATTGTTTTCACTCTCGATAAGTATGGAGTGAAGAATATTGTCGGCATACCGTATGGCTACCGGGGATTTTTTGACGATAGTCTGTCAGACATCAATTTGACGACACACTATGTGCAAAATATTCATCTCTCGGGAGGCAGCTTGTTGGGAGTCTCTCGCGGAGGTGGACAAACAAGCGACATTGTCGACAGCTTGGAGGTATGAAATCGAAATCAGTGTGAAGGTTGAGTTGGTTAATTTGTGTTGGTTTTAGAAACGCGGGATCAACATGCTCTTCGTGCTCGGTGGCAATGGCACGCACGCTGGAGCTAATGCCATCCATGACGAGTGCTGGCGCAGGAAGATGAAAGTTATGGTTGTCTGCGTCCCGAAAACGATAGACAACGACATCTTGCTCATGGACAAAACTTTCGGTTTTGATACTGCTGTCGAAGCTGCTCAGCGAGCAATCAGTGCTGCGTACATTGAGGTAGGCCTTCTTTCCATTCTTTGTTTGCGTAATTTGTTTTTCTTCCTTCCTTTATGACTGGTCATCTAAAACTTTTCAGGCAAGGAGCGCTTACCATGGAATCGGTGTTGTGAAACTGATGGGGCGCCAGAGTGGCTTCATAGCACAGTATGCCAGCTTAGCCAGTGGTCATGTCAATGCGTGTCTCATTCCGGAGGTAACGATACCTTTCTTTGCTTCTTTTCTCGTATGCTCAACTGTTGTAATCGTGCAGGTCCCTTTTACTTTGCATGGACCAAATGGACTGCTTGTCTACCTGGAGCATTTGATCCACACTCAAGGCTCTGCGGTGGTCTGTATTGCCGAAGGAGCTGGCCAGGTAAAAGTCTTCAGTTTTTTGCTCCTAGATTTTGGCTAATCTTTTCGAGTAGGAGCTTCTGCCGCCCAAGGGCTCAAAAGACGCGTCTGGCAATCCTGTCCTATCGGACACCGGAGTCTACCTGCAACAACAAGTAAGTCACATTCATGTCTTGAACTAGAAAGGATCTAAGAATTCACTCTACAGATCAAAAACCATTTCATTGCCGCTGGAACTCCCGCAGATGTCAAGTACATTGATCCCACTTATATGATCCGAGCGTGCCAGGCAAACTCCTCCGACAGTATACTGTGCACCGTTCTTGGCCAGAATGCGGTATGCTTGCATAGTTCTTTCATATTTTTTCCCGAGACTTCTAACCTTGGATCCTTACAGGTTCATGGAGCGTTCGCGGGATTTAGTGGAATCACGGTGGGGCTTTGCAACACTCACTACGCTTACTTCCCAATCCCGCAAGTCATCGATCATCCACGAAGGGTTGATCCGAGCAGCAGGATGTGGCACCGTTGTATCACATCAACAGGGCAACCGGATTTTACTCCGCGAGCGTAGAAAATCTACAATCTTGAAGGGACAGTATATTCTTAGACCATTATTTATTCTTGTAATAAAACTGGCCAAATTTAGGTCTTAAGGAATTTTAAGTTACCATTTTTAGGGTTTGCGTAGCAAGCAAGCCAGACGAGGGGAATGTGTTCTACCTCCCCTCGTCTGGCTTCTTCCTGTATTCCTTTTCAACAGGAAAGAAGAGCTGGAGAGGCTCTTGGTGCTCCTCAAGCGAAGTGGAGGCAAATCCACGCTGCTCAAGAGAGTGGTGAAGATCCGGCAGACAGGGCCAGCAAGCCCGATGGTTTTCACTCCCGTGTTGTATATCAACTTGAGTTTTATCACTCAAGCCGCAGAGGCCGCGGCAACTTTGCGCCAGCTTTTGGGTGATACGTGGAATCGTTTCCTGCCGTCAAGCCTGTGATGACTCTTGGAAGCTTGATCAGTTTACAGTGGGGGCAAAGACGAGGCCAGGGACTACCTCGCCAAGCTCATTGCTCCTGTGGGTGGGTACTTGGGCACCTGCCTTGGACGATGCTGTGTGGGAAGACATACATGATGCATGCCGCAGGAGTTTTGTCTGTCTCGAGCATTTGGCAGACACGGCAGTGTTGATGATGTCTTGAGTTGACACTCTAGACCAAGTTCATGCCCAGAATTCTGACGCAATTCATAGCGTCGTGATGCAGAGGCTGGATAAAGGATTGGGCTGGACATACCAGCAATGGTGTCTGGCTATGACGACCATCCTAGACCATGATGGCTGCGTGTCCGTTTGGACCTTGTATGAGGCCCTGGCTAAGCATCTTGCGGGATGAGCAGCAAATTCACCAGCCAGCGATAACACGACGAGCAGCTCGTCTACGAGCCGTGCATGGATGGTGAGAATTAGGAAATGTGCATCGGAGCGAGCCAAATATCAGTTGCAGGGGATGGACAGAGAATATGGGGAAGAGAATGTCCGAAAAGTCGTTGCGATTGTCCGTGAGTTGATATGCGACAACATGATCCATTTGCGATATATTGGATTTGAGAATACGTACAAGGACATAACACATTCTGGGTATGTGGGTGAATATGCCATGCCATCCTCACCCTTCATTCACTTTGGATTGCGCAATTGACATTGAAAGAGTGTACTTTAGTCGAGCTTAAGCTTTGCTTTAGTTTTGGTTTACTGGTAGATGGACACCCGAAGATCCTCACGCAGTCTTGGTTGGGGAAAATCTCTTTGAGTTCTCCTCAGAATTGCATTTCTCAATGCAAAGCTGTCACCTTTCAATCAACAGATTCTGCCAATCTTTGGATGTTCTGGACTTCGATGTTCCACTACACGGCTCCAATACTATTATGTTGATCGCCTATCCATTTGAGAATCGTACGATCATTGTCTGAGTCATTCTCCTCCATCGTTACGTGAGAATAGAAAGGGGCCACCCCAGCTTGAGCTGGATGAAGATGCTGTGGAGATGGATAGTGGCGGAGACAAGCGGCTCAAATTGAGCGCTTTGTTTTTACCTGGATTCAGTTGATTCTGCAGATTTCCCCATTGACTTCCGCAATGGCGAGGACGTGGAAGAGATTGAGATTGAGCTACGATAGCCGCTTTGACTTTGCGACCAAGGCATTGATGGCACAAGGCTACGTTTTCATGATCCGCAACTGCTACAAGCAGATGCAGGAATTTGCTCTGAACTCCACCAGATTCGTGCAACAGAAGCTCACCTTGGAGCCTGGAACTCCTCTCGGGTACAGAAGCAGGACTATGTATGAGTTTTGGACAATAGGGACGTGTATACTCGCTTGCATTCCGGATAGAAATAACCACGGGTGGTCGAAGAATGGCATCTACAAGGTGGATGTCGATAGGCGGTACACCACCGTAGGAGGCTTCCCGTGGCTGCTGTTTAACAATCCAGAGTGCTGCCACCTCTCAGAAGCCAAGACGTTCACGTTCACTTCGTTTCTGAACCACAATTTCTTTATCGAACGTAGGATGGCACTTAGGATTACGTCAGTTATAAGTATGACTACAACTCCAAACACTGAAGTTGCCAAGAGCACGCTGTCTAAAGACCACGGTCCAGAAGAAGTTGCAGAAGTCCACTTTGATGAGTTTACACTTTACTGAGTTTACAAGTAATGCATTATAGAGAAGCAGAATGGGAAGTGCATGAGTGCTTTTTAAATGCAAGACCTTCTTTTGTAAGGTTTTTGGTGAATGTGTTATGTGACAGCATACAATTCTAAAGCTCCTAATCTGGTGAGGGAGTGTATTACTTGAGGGAGCCTGACAACAGGGCTGCTTGGGATGCATTTTCCAAGTCACTAGTTATAAATGGACTGTAAGATTATTATGGAGGCAGTATTGATATTTATCTTGCAAGTGGTTCAAATTTAGAAGTTGGAAGGACAATCAACTTCTTCATAATGAAGTAGAATAAGAATTTAATCTTTTAAAAATTACGGGATAATATTTTCGGAAATCCAGGGGAAATAATTTTTGCAAATGCAATATACAGATGTTTTCATTTATTCATTCATATACTGTTTACACAATCTCGATGAAGCATGAGACATGAAGGTTTAAAAACATTGTCCATGTCGTCCCGTTCTTGACCTTCAATGCGCCCGCTCCACGCTCTTCAAGCTTTGCTCATGGCATCTTCCTAACTAATTTGGAGAGGATTTAGGGTTGTAGAATTAATGTGGGGAGCTCATCTTTTCCGCCCTGCGCCGCTTCTCAGGTATTGAGCAGTGTGTCTCTCCTTCGTCCTTCTTCGCATAGTTTGAGGATCATTCAGCAATGCAGGGAGGTCCATTGCTGGTTTTTGTTTGTCGAAGACGTCCAGAGCCCTTCCCTGCTCAAGGCCTACGAGAGCTTTCTTTCTTCCGATGAGCGCGACCGAGTTTATAGCGTGGATTCCGAGCGCTTGCGAAAGGAGCGTCTCCTCACTCGTGCTTTGGTGCGTACCACGCTCGCTAGATGTAAGATCAACCATGCCTTTGCCTCTAAATTCTCGTGTATCAATCTCTTTTGAGTTTATCTTTTCCTCGCAGATTCCGGTGGTACGATCGCACCAGGGTCGCTCAAGTTTTCAAAGAACGAGTTTGGCAAGCCTGAGGTCCGGAGTTCTTGACAGTTTTGTATCCACTCTAATTTTTCTTTCATTTTCCCAGCTTGTCGGCATGAATGGTCTATGTTTCAGCTTGTCACACACAAGCTCGCTGATATCATGCGCGGTTACTACTCATTCCGAGGTGATAAGTTTCCATAGATTTCTTTGCCTGTAAGTCTTGTTTGAGTTGCGCAGCTAGGAGTTGATGTGGAAGACAAGCGTCGGGTTTTTGGAAGCAATCTCATGCGCCTGGCCAGGCGATGGCTCTCAGACAAGGAAGTGTCATGGTTGCAAGGCTTCGCGTCTTCCTCTAGTGACGAGCAACGCCGTCGTTTCATTCAGCTATGGACGCTCAAAGTCACACAGTTTTCTCGGCTCCATCACTCTGACTGAGATTCCGTTCTTACCAGGAAGCCTACGTCAAGGCTCTCGGGAGAGGCATTAGCGGCGCACCACTGAGCAACTTCTCGTTCGGATTTGATGCAAGCTTTCCCGGAACGGAAGCGATCTCAATGCAGCTACACCAGCACCCAGAGGTGTGATTTCTAGGATGGATCCAGCAAGTAAAAGAACTCTTTTGCCTGTGATGCAGGCACAGACGATCTCGCTCGAGTCGGAAGAGAGTCCCTGGAGATGGCAGTTCTTGCTGTTCGAGCCATCGCAGCATCACTACGCTTCCATTTGCGCACAGAGGCTCGAGGGCGGTGATGCAAACTCCAGCAGAGATTTCAAGTTTTGGAGGACTGTTCCACTCGTCCGGGACGAAGCTCTTGGGGATGATGCGGTAGCTCTCGCTTGGAGCTCTCTAGCGCTACTTTGATAGCTCTAGAAGAATGTTTTTGGTTAAAATGTTATAACTTTAGGGTTCTTGGCAATGAATGCCGCGGTATTGCTTCGCGGCGGGGCGCTGCTACAGGGAGGGCGGCATCACAGGATCGCATGGAAGAAGAGGAGGAGGCGGCGGCCTCCAGGACTGTGGGCCGACGCTCATCGCAGCTCTCAAGGCTTGCGGCCGCGCGCGCGACATTGACACGGGTAAGAAGCTCCACTTGGAGCACCACAGCCACGGCGACATCTTCGTGGAGACATCGCTCGTCGCAATGTACGCCAGATGCGGCAGCATGGCCAACGCCCGGCGCGTCTTCGATGCGATGCGCCGCCACAACGCCGTCTCGTGGACCGCGCTTATCGCGGGCTACGCCGAGAACCGCGACCCCGACTCCGCCATCGCCGCCTTCCACGCGATGCTCGCCTCCGGGTGTGAGGCCGACGCCACCGCATTCGTGGCAGCGGTCGCGGCTCTCTCCTCCAAGATCGAGGGGGAAAGCCTTCGCGCCGCGCGGCAGCTGCTTCCATTGCAAGGTGGCACGCAAATGCCGTCACTGGGCATCTGCGCTAGCGATGCTGTTCCAGAAAACCACGTCTCCAGGAAGATCGATCTGGGCTTGCTTGACGCGGGCATGGCGATCCACTGCCGGGCCCGGGGCCACGAATCGGACATCTTCGTCGCCAGCGCGCTGCTCGACATGTACTCGAAGCTCAGCAGCGTCGAGGACGCGCGCATTGTCTTCGACCGGATGCCTCGCCACGACGTGGTGTCGTGGACCACCTTGATCCTGGCCTACGTCGAGAATGGCGACGATGATCTCGCGCTGGAGCTCTTCGACTCAATGCCGCCCGGGTGTGATCCCGACGCGCGGACCTTCGTGGCGGCGATCATGGCTAGCGGGAACCTGGCGTCGCGCGAGGACGCGGTGGACGTCGATGGTGGCAAGATGGTCAAGCCCAAGAGCCTGGAACGCTGCCGAGCTATCCATTCCCTCGCTGCGGAGAAGGGCTGCGCGGGAGATCTCTTCGTGGCGAGCAAGCTCGTGGATGCCTACTCCAAGAGCGGCGCCGCGGAGGAGGCGTGGATGGTCTTCCAGGCCATGCCTCGCCGCGACCTCGTCGCCTGGAACTCGATGGTGCTGGGACTCGCCGAGAATGGAGAGGGTGATCGAGCTCTCGGCTGCTTCCACTGCTTGGAGCAGTGCCTGGAGCCGGACGCTCGCAGCTTCACTGCCGCCATCGCCGCCATCGCGAGCACAGCGGCGAAAGAGCCCGGCCGGGAGATCGAGGGGAGGGTGGTGAAGCTGGAGTCCCTGGGGAAGGCGATGGAGATCCACGCTCGAGCCGAGAAGAAAGGGTGGTGCCGCTCGGACGTGTTCTTGTTGAACAGTTTGATCGGTATGTATGCCAAGTGTGGGAGTATGGTCGATTCTCAGCGCGTGTTTGACAGGATGCCCGCTCGCACCGCCGTCTCGTGGTCCAGCTTGATCCTCGGCTACGTCGAGAACGGCGACGACGATCTCGCGCTGGAGCTCTTCGACCGGATGAAGCGATCTCCTCAGTCGCCATCGCCGCCGTGCGCGAGAGCTTACGTCGTGGCGCTCATGGCGTGCTCGAGCTTGGCGGCGCTCGAGGCCGGGAGAGCGCTCCACCGTGAGGCTTCCATGCTGGGATTCACCGCGGACACGTACCTGGCAGTGACGCTGGTGGATTTCTATGGCAAGTGCGGCAGCATGGAGGAGGCCGAGAAAGTCTTTCGATCGATGGACGAGAGGAGGAAGAACAAGGTGGCGTGGAGCGCTCTCCTTGCGGGATACAGCCGCCAGGGTGATGCTGGGAGAGTGTTTGCCACCTTCGAGGAGATGCGAGGCTCCGGCGTGGAGCCGTGCGCGGTGGCGTTCGTATCTCTCCTCGCCGCATGCAGCCACGCCGGGCTGGTAGATCGCGGCCGGGAGATCTTCTCGGCGATGGTGGAGCGCTACCGCATCGCGCCGCTGGCGGAGCATTACAATTGCATGGTGGACATGCTGGGCCGCGCGAATCTCCTGGATGAGGCGCTGGCGGTGGCCACCGGATCGTCATTTGTAGCGAATGCCGCGACGTGGAAGATCGTCCTGGGAGCTTGCCACAAGTGGAAGAACTCGGCGATCGCGAGGGTGGCGTTTGAGGCGCTGGTGGCGATGGATCCGAGACTGGATGTGGCGTACGTGGTGATGGCCAGCGTTCTTGGGAGCGCTGGGCTGTGGGAAGAGCAGGCTAGAGTTCTCGAGCGGCGGGGCAAGGCCGGGACTTGGAAGAAGGCCGGGCAGAGCTGGTGGGTGTGTCCCAGATCGGGAATTGTTCACAAGTTCCGGGCGGGGGAAGTGGATCACCACCCGCAGGGAGACGCCATCGCCGCCAAGATTAAGGAGCTCTTGGGCGTGATGAAGGAGAGGCATGGATACGTCGCGGAGGTGGGGTGTGTGACGCACAACATCGCGGAGGTTGAGAAGGAGGGGACGCTGTGCGGGCATAGCGAGCGCCTGGCCATCGCGTGCGCGATCGTCAACACTCCGGCCAGGGAATCGGTGAGGGTTGTCAAGAATTTGCGAGTTTGCGAGGATTGCCACAGGGCCACCGCGATCATCTCCCGGATCGAGGAGAGGGTGATTGTTTGCCGGGACACGAGCCGGTTCCATGTGTTTGAGAGTGGGGAGTGTTCTTGCAAGAACTTTTGGTGACGATCAAAGAAGTTATGGGCGCGAAACTTGTGTATAGTGCTTGCTTGCTTGATACACATCTGGATCGGGTAGTAAACCATGAGCATTATTGAAGAAAGGAGCAGCTTCATACAATGGTGGTAAACACCACAAAGACACTCCTCTAGACGAGCACAGGGAATTTTACTTAGATGACAAATTAATTACTCAAATGGTTTAACTCTATTTAATATAAGCATAAGTACAAAGGGAACAGTTTTAATGGTGATGAGAGAATCCGCGTGCAGATTCGAGAAAATCGGGCACCGCTCGAAGAGGATGCCTTTCGGCCGGTACTCTTCCATTATGAAGCAAAGAAATTCAGGCTAAAGCTGTCCATGTCCGAGGACCTAGAGAATATCGATGCTCTGCGCCTTCAAACACATTCTATTGTTTAGTTAGTAAATTCAAAACTATAGTGCAATATAGAGTTTAATATTTTTAACTTTTCTAAAATTTAAAACATTGTTGTTTGATAAAGTAGTTTATTGCAATTATATTCTATTTACCAAACTTATTATTGATTTCAATATTAATCTTGTTTGTTAAAGAATATTGATTAATGAAAAAAAAACATAAAAATATTTCAGCTATTTTCATCTAATTTAAATTTTTTTCAAGATTATTTTAAATAGTTTAATACCAGTACCTACTGTTTATTTTGCTAACGCTAATTTTTTTTAACACGATATTAATTCATCATATTGAATATGAACGTTTTGCCTTTTACATTTACAATTAGCTTAAGTCTGATGAAATATTACTCTTTTGAAACTTATCAATATTTAAATTTACATATGTTCAATAAAATCAACAAAATATTTAACATTGAATTTAAAATTATATTTGAAAAATTAACATTTCATATTGGGAGCTGATGTGAGTAGGGAACCGTTAAATATAATTAAAATTTGTTTAAATAGTGTAAATTATCCCAATTATAATTTCTGAATAGTTGAATATAAAGCTTTACATAAATAAAATATGGATGAGAAATTTTCCATTTATTTTTTATTGAAGTCATATTTAAAAGTGTATATTACTTTTTAAAACGTAAAATTTTTCTAGAAATTTAGAAAAATACATAAGAAATAAATTTTGTTTTTTAATTTTTGATAATTATTGATATCACTACTATATAAATGAAAATTCTTAAAATCATAAAATAATAAGTAAGGAAATTAAAATATAAAATCTCTTGCATTAAGCATTTCGCACTATATATTAAAAATGTATTAGATTTCTCTTCTAATCTAATCACTGAAGAGTGTTTATAAACATATCTATTTATTTCAAATTTATTTACCCTTAAACTATCATTATTAAAATCTCTCTTATTAATTTTAATGTTAATTATTTAAATAAAAACTGCCAATCTCCGCATAAATACCCTTTAAAAGTGACTAATCAACCTAGGTTTTGCATGTTAATATTAATGAATATGGAGTATCAATCACTACTTTGAAGTAGTACATTTTAAAATTCAATCCGTTCTATGACTTGAAGGGGGCGTATTCTTTGAGGGATAGCGCAATGCCTTCCACGGATCCCAGCGTCGCGGCCACGGACACGAGCAAGCAGCCCAAATCAAGGGCCTTAAGACCGATCCACTTTGGCGACCACCTCACGATGCTTCTCTGCTTAATATACATCTCGATTGGAAAGTAGACTGTGAGCGGCCAAAACGAGATCGCGCCAAGGAGGCCCAGGACGTCGTTGAAGAAGGGGAGCAGCATCGACACGATGGTGGTCACTACCACAAAAGCGCTCCTCCAGACAAGCGTGAGCAGCGTGAATTTGTAACAGCCCAGGAGAGGGATCGGGATCCTAAAGTAGTGGCTGACAAACTTGTTCTTTGGCCACCGTGATCGCGCATGGCCTTCGACATAGGCGAACACTGGCTGGCAATAGACCTGTGAAGTGAAAGAGACACGACAGATAAGAACGACAAGATGGAAATTTTTTGAGAAGATGGATGATCAAAGATGGGTTTTGATTTACCGACTTGGTACGCTCCTACAAGGTGGATGACGATGCAAGCGTTTGCGAAATCGATGAGCCAGAAGGGCTCGTAGAAGCCAAAGCCCGTGAGGAGGTTTCCAGGAGCATTGTTTCCAAAGGCCGCGTAGCCAAAGCACCCCACCGACATGTAAAACGCGGTGGTGGTGACGACTCCCACCAGCGTCGCCTTCTTCATGGTCTTGTTCTCAGGTGGTGGAGATTTTAACGTATCCTACACACACACACACAAGGAGAAAAAAGCATTTTTTTTTTTCAGTAAAAAGCGTGACTTTCTACCTGTATTTCGATGAGGATCATGGAAAAAGAGTATGCAAACGCGACATTTCCCAGCGACTGGAAGACTTGCCAGATCTTTCGCGTTTGCGAAAGTCCTCCCATTCCAATGCGGACTCCGGTGGCTGTTCCGTATGAGTGCCCCGGCTCTGCAAAAAAACACCTCTCTCGCGTGAGCACATAAGCTGGAAAAGAGAGCGAGAAAGCCTTTACACATGTATGTATTGGTTACCGAAAGTTCGCGCCATCCCGAGGCCAAGCCCAATGAAGGAGTAGGCGAAGGACATGATAGCTGCGGCGATGGACAGCCACCATATTCGATCAAAATCCGGGATTTGTGACAGCAAAATCTGCACCGCTCCAAACACCACCATGTACGGGTAATCCGAGGCGTAGCACGGACCATCGTGTCCTTGGCGATGGAAGCAATCTGATCGACTTATCGCCCTGCAAGAACAGAGAACCAAAAGAACTTAGAAATCATAGTTTTTAGCTTTCGACAAGAACTTACACCATGCTAATCGACGCAGTGATTGTGTAGCCGATTGCTGTTCCAACCAAGTTGGTGTACTGGACAATGCCGCAAATCCAAACCTTTGCACCCCCTGGACAAGATAAATCACGCTCAGTTGAAGAACTCGAGTGCTCTAGCAACAACGTAAAGGAAAAAAGAGAGATTCACCTAGAGTGACTGCCACCGCATCTTGGTACGTGTGATTCCGCTTCCCTGTGACTGGATCGGGGCTGCGATAGCAATCCGCGAGGAGGATGGAGGTGTAATACGTGACAAATGCAAATGCGAGCAGGACGGGGGGTCCGACTGCCCAGCCAAGCTGAGCCATGCTCCACGCCAGTGACAAAACTCCAGAGCCGATCACTGCTGTGATCACATGAGCCGAGGCAGTCCACACAGTTCCTGAGGGACAACGAAACAGGAAAAAGAAATCGTAAGTTTTAGAAGCTATGGAACAAGCTAACCAGTTCTTTTCCATTGATCATCGTCGTCATCTCTGCTGCTTGTCCGGAGCAAGACTGCCGGGATCGCGTCGTCCATATGCTTGGCATTGCCATTTGCCAGAGCAGACTCATCGGCTTCTTTCATGCCTCTGGAAAAACAGAAGAACGAACTTCCCAAGGTGTGATCTTTGTCAGTGGAGCAAGGAAAATCAGCAAACATATCCAGACGTGGTGATGGAGGGACAGAGAGAAGGAAAATGCCTGGAGCACAAGCTCCAGTGTGTTGGAGGCCACATATTTATACGTGCCGGAAAGTCATGCAGGCCTCGCGACTCCAATAGAAGGGAGAAGAGTGGCATTGAAATATCGCTCACATGAAGAATTTTCACCGCCACGAGCGCACATTCTTCCACAAAAACCAAGCCTTGGTGATTGTTTGCACTGTGTTGGTCCAAGGTGTTACCACCACCAGCGCACGCAAAGTTGAGAGAAAACCAAATAGAGGACGCCGCCTACCTCTCTTTAAAAGATTGTTCCTCGGCCTTTGCCAGTGATAATGCAAGCCAAGTGATTGAACCGCATCGGAATCTCGCACCTCAGCTTTGCGTAGTTCGATCTTCGGAGAGAAAAAAGAAAAAAAGGACAAGATGAGGAGAAGGCAAAAGAAAAACAAAGTACCCGGCTGATCACTTGTGACTGGTAAGCTCGTCACGGGTAAGATCCTTTCTCGAGTCTTCTCTAAGGATTATGGGTGGAGGGCGAACTTGCGAAAGTTGTACCTCGGGTTTGTTTTCTTGTGATGCTGTCAAAGTTCAATGGAGCTGGATAGAAGGTGTTTGTATGCTTCTCCAATAATTTCCCCGGAGCCATGTGATCCATGTAATCCCTGTGCTTCCAAACTATCTGTTTCTTTGCGGACATGGGCCGCTCCCGTTTTGTTTTGTTTTCTTGCTTCTCTGTACTCCTCTCGTCCATTAAGGCCGCAGATTCCCACGCTCACCAGTAACACCAGCTCAGTCAATACGCTTTCTTTTCTAAAAAGCTCGATTTGAAAGGTGATGAACTCATGGTGCAAAGGTTCGCAAAATGGCGGATGGATGCTACAACTCATGCCTTCCCACTTCGTCTCGAACGAGAATCTCATCATGAAACTGTGGGAGAACCGCAGCCGCTGAGAGTCCTCGGACCCTGAAAGATGCAAATGCAGCCCCCACAGTCACATTATAAAGAAGAATACTGGACCGCTTACCGCCGTGTCCTCCATGTCATACTTCACATCGGCAAGGAAGAGGCCCGACGCTGGAGCCATAGGAAGTGCGAGCGAGATTGAACGTCCTTCCAGAATCTTACGAACTGCAATCACGGCCGTCGGCCATTGTTAGTATCTAAGATCTCTGGAAGTTCCACTCACCATCCTCAACGGTGCGTTTTCCAGCTCCAACACCTTTGAGAGTGCCTACCATCAATCGCACCTTTGTTTTCTCTCGGCGTTAGTAATGCAGAAATACGTAAAATACAGTGTAAGTTTCTATACCTGGTGGTATAGAAACGACTGTGCTCGAGCTGTCACCACGTATGACTTCAGATCTGGATTGGAGCTTTGAGCGTTTGAGGAGCATCCAGTTAGAAAATGCGGCCAGCTGACTGTCTCGCGGATTGAGAGCTCCTCCAAAGTTTTGATCGGAGACGCTGCCTGTGCAACAATTTTGAGTGAGACAGTAAAAGGAAAAGAAAAACTATGGATCGAATACTTGGCAACCAGACGCTCTGAAGGAACTAAAATCGTGCGTTCCCAAAAGAACTTGACAGGCACTCTAGAACAAGCCACATATAAGTAGAAAAAAGGACAGAGAAAAGCATAGAAGCAATGCTTTCACCTGCATTGCTATGAGGTTCAAAGGTTCCTCGACATGCCAGGCACGGTCTCTTTCGAACAGAGAAGCCCGACAGCTTCCGGCGAGGATTCGATAGTAGTACCTACAAAATCGATGCGGCTACAGAAAGCGTTCTAGTATATGTACGATGATACAACTTACGTGCGTTCTTTCGCGCGGAATCGAGCGTGAAAGTCCGGAGGCACAAATCTAGCATCCACCACCTGAACATCAGCTGACTCCCTCTGCCATCGAGCTTGAATAGAATAAGC